GTGTGTGTGTGTGTGTGTGTGTGTGTGTGTGTGTGTGTGTGTGTGTGTGTGTGTGTGTGTGTGTGTGTGTGTGTGTGTGTGTGTGTGTGTGTGTGTGTGTGTGTGTGTGTGTGTGTGTGTGTGTGTGTGTGTGTGTGTGTGTGTGTGTGTGTGTGTGTGTGTGTGTGTGTGTGTGTGTGTGTGTGTGTGTGTGTGTGTGTGTGTGTGTGTGTGTGTGTGTAACTTTTTGCACGCTACAATTTTTTTAACATTTGTAATTCTTTCGATCACGAAAATTTATATCTCTTCCAATTTTTCATCGATAAATTTCAGAGCAGAGTGAGTTTTTCTATGAATTGATTCGATTTCTACACGCGGTAAACGCGACTTTTAAAATGAATAATCTTGGTTCCTTCTTTCTTTTTTTTTTTCTTTCTTTCTCCAACCGAATTTAGGATCGAAACGAACATCCCGCGTTTTTATTGCCTCAGCTTAGAGGGAATTTCACGTTGCACGAATGCACGCATCTAGGGGGAAGGGGTTTGTTTCGAATCGAGCTCGTAAGCAACCGCCTTTTTTCTCCCCCCCCCTCCCCTATTTTTCATACGAGAAAAACTTTCGACCGAGACTTGTCTCGAGAGAAGCGAAGAAGTCGAATCAAACCAGCCGTGAAGTTTTTCGCGCGGAGGATCATCTCGAACAATAACGTAACGTTCTTGTGTCTTTGAGAGATAAGAAATGAAGGGGAGGCAAAGTGTGTGAAAAGTTCTTGGAGTTCTCGAACGTCTCGATAACGTCAAACTCTCGAGAGATGTAATACCTCTTTCGGGAGAAGAGACTTCTTTTTTCTTTTTTTTTTTCGAGATATCGATGAGAAACGATTCTTGGCAAAATTTTCAATAAAACTATTCCTATATATAAATCGATTCCATAAATTTTCCAAAAATTGGAATTCGATCGTCTTTTTTTTTTTTTGGTAAGAAAATTTCCTTTAAAATAAAGAAAAAAAAAAAAGTCTGATCTCAAGAAAATAGAATCCTTCGGAAGGTTCAACACATTAGGAGGTAAATGATTCATTAGGGGCCATCCACGCCTCGTTATCGCATTAGCCCGGGCTGCTGCTTCCGGCGGACAAAAAAGGGTGATGGGGGGAGTGAAGAAGGAAGCGGGCTCGTTGCTCGTTGCTGGTGAATTATTTATTCGGATCGGGGGCAAAAGAGGGGGAGGGGGGATAAAACGTTGCGAAACGAATCGAATCGAAAGGAATATTGGCTACCGATGTTACCTGTACTTAACGATTCCCGAATAATGAATGATTAATACACCAGTTTCTTCCATCACTTTCCCTCCGCATTGTCGCCTCTATTTCTTCTCTCTCTCTTTCTTTACCGCCACGGTCTTTTCTTATTACGCGTCGTTCGAGCTTTTTACCGCGACAAGAAAGTGATTTTTTCGCCGAAACGGGAGTACGGACCGTTTCCTTGCATCATTTATACCCCGCCATGGGGAGTTCGATGAATATTGAATGGGTAATGGAGAATGATCTACTTCTTCGCTAGATTCGGTATTCTTCCTTTAAACTCTCTCTCTCTATCTTTCTCTATCTCTGGAGAATGGCGGAGGATTTGTTCGAAGGAAAAAGTGATTTAAATTCGTTGTTTCATCTTCTATTCGAAGGAGGAAACGATCCAATTGGCCGTAGCAGCGTGAATTAGATTAAAATAAATTTAATCCCGCGGTGTAAACCGGGAAACAACGCGAAATTTCCAGTTGCTGCGATCGGCCGCAACTGATTAAATTATAAACGAGTGATCCCCCACCAACTTGCAAACAATTCTGCAACAAGGAAACGTTGTTCCTCCTCTCTCTCTCTCTCTCCCGCCGCTTTTTTTTACGACTCGGAACTTCGTTAAAACCCGCGTAAAACTTTCGCGGTGGCTATAAAGCGTATTTACACTCTGTTATATTTAGCGTATTGATAAATCCGAGCAAAAAAACAGGAGGATAAAAAATCATGCCTTTACAAAAATAATATTTTGTTCGGAAAATAATTTCGTTTTTTCACGCGAGCGTCGCTAGTCGAACGTTTATCCAGCCAACTTCATTCTAAACCGTGTTGTTATTATTATACATCTTGAGAGTTGGCATTTCGTGGTTTATTTATAAGAAAAATTCGTTTGATTTTTGTGTTTTTTTGTGCGTGATAACAAAGATGCAAGACCAAAAAGACCAAATTTTCCGTATATTTTACTTTTTTATTATCGAAAAGATAAGAAAGTTGTTCAGGCAAGAAAAAAGTTGCGAATTCTATGGAGAAAGTATCAAAACTGATTTTCAAAATTTCATTTCGATATTAAAGATACAATACGTTCTAAAAGACCAATTGAAACCGATAAAAACAAAATAAAGGCATCGATTGAAGCAAACTGACGAATAACACGGGAAATTGCTACGAGACTGAATTTGTCGAATTCGATTGTTCATGATCACATGAAACAACTTGGTGTTTCATTGTCGTGAAAAAAACGAAATTATTTTCCGAGCAACTCAATATATCGTTTGTGAAACAAAAGGTAGAAAGAAAGAAATTTTTATCCTCATAATTACATATTTTTCTATTTCTCTGAAATGTTTGTCTTTTTTCTTAGCGTTCCTTTAATAACTTCAAAAATCACTATTTCGACCGATATGGTAGTCTGGAAATACAAACACTGAAATGTTTGTCTTTTTTTTTAGCATTTCTTTAATAATTTCGAAAATCATTATTTCAATCACTATATATAATCCAAATATATTGCAATAGATGATGATTGAGTGGAAATACAAATGTTTATCTTTTTTCCTAATTTCGAAAATCATTATTACAATCATTGGAATAATCTGGATATGTTGCAATAAATGATGATTATGTTAAGACAGTAAGTATACAACTTTAACAATAAGAAAAAAAAAATAAAACTTCGATTCATATCTCTTATTATTTATTTAATAATATTTTTACATTACATATAAAATCTGATGAAAGGATGCTTGAATTGGAAAATAAGTACACTTTTTTTCCATTCTTTTTTTTTTTTTTTTTTTTTATTCCTCGATCCGATCTCCGACCGAATAAACCTCCTATTTTATTTAGCTCGAACTTTCTCTCTTCCTGTGAACCGCGAAAAACTTCGCAATCTGGACCCGAAAGACCACCCCGGAAATTAATTAACGAAGCAAGTTTTTCCACGAGAAAGAAAATGGAAAGAAACGGTCGAAGGAAGAGGCGGTACGGGAGGTGAAGTTTTTCCACCGTTTGACAACGAGCGGAATACGTAAACGGGTGGGGGGAGGAGGCAAAATGCTTGGAAGTTGAAGAAGCGAAAGAAAGTTGAAGCCGGGATCGTTCGATTCGAAAAATACAGGAAAGAAAGGGGGACGTTCGTTTTTTCAGCTTTAACTTTCAGATTTCCTAATGGTTGTCCATCAACCGGTGTTATTACGAATCTAATTATGATAATAGAGTCATGAATTATACAGAGTCGGGCTCAGAGTCGTCGGGACAATCAGGAAGCGGGATGGCTACGGTCTGGAGGAGAAATAAGCCGAAATCGCGGGAATAAATTTTCTTTTCCCGTTGCCAAAGTTTTGTTTCTTTTTTCCCTTTTTTTCTTTTCTTTGCGAATAATACCGGCTGGAAATTCTGACGAGCTCGTGAATCTTAGAATTAGTGGACTTGGACGAGAGAGAGAGAGAGAGAGAGAGAGAGAGAGAGAGAGAGAGAGAGAGAGAGAGAGAGAC